TGTGTGATTTTCTGATTTTGCCCGCTGTTGCCAAATTGCCATCCACTGAGGGTGAACTGTGGTTTTGGAGAAGACTCGAGAGTCCCTTGGACAGCAAGGAGATCAAACTAGTCAATCCTAAAGGAAATCAATCCTAAATATTCATTGAAAGGACTGATGCTGAAGCTCCAATACTTCGGCCACCTGATGCAAAGAGCTGACTCATTAGAAAAGACCCTGATGCTGGGAAAGACTGAGGGCAGGAGGAGAAGGTGGCGACAGAGGATGAGATGATTGTATGGTATCACTGACTCTATGGTCATGAGTTTGAGCAAGCTCTGGGAGTTGGTGATGGGCAGGGAAGCCTGGTGTGCTGCAGTCCATGGGGTCTCAAGGAGTCGGACACAACTGAGCGACTGAACTGAACTGAGGGTGTACCAGTCAGATCCCCACCAGAATTTATTTCCAAACCTGCTCTGTCATATGCCAACACTGACAAGAATCCCCAGTGAAGTGTTATTCATCAAAGCTCCAAACTGGAAACAGTCCAGTGACCCTCAGCAGGAGAATGGAGAAATAAATCACAGTCACATCAAACAATGGAATAGTATAAAGCAATGAAAAAGGACAAAGTTCTGCTACCCGGGAGGTGGAGGAATCTCGCAGGCATGTGAGTGCCCAAAGGAAACCAGATACAAAGCAGTGCTTCCTGTGGGATTCCAGTGAGATGAATCACCCGTGAAGTTGAAAGGAAGAAGCCATCTACAATGACAGAGATCAAAACAGGGATTCCCTTGGATGGGGGGGTTTTGATGACATGACACAAGATTGTCCCCATGCTGCTCAGAATGCCCTGTACTTTGATCCGTTAGGTGGGTGTATACCTACATATGAAACTCACTGAGTTGTGTGTGCGTCACAGATGCTATATCTCAATAAAAATTTTTTTTAAAAAAACTGCCAACACTGATGTGCAAAGCAGGGCCAGGGCCACAGGGAGGGTCCTTGGAATGGAGGGTTGCACAGAGGCCCTGTGTCTCTTTTGTCCCGTCTTGACNAGCCTTGGGCTCTGCATGAAAGGAGCCTCATTCAGCGGCTCCTTCCTCCTGCCTTCAACTCTGCTCCTGAGCTGCCCTCCCTGCACCGCAAGCTTTAGTGTTTCTGGAACATTCCAGGTCCCACTGCTGGGCTACAAGTGGCTGTGGGAGGTGGGTGCAGGGGTGCTGCTGTCTCACTGCCCAGCCCCACCTCCCCCTGCCCGGACGGCTCTGCACCAGCTGTGGAGCAGCTGCCTGGTTATATATAGCCTTGGGCTCCGCATGAAAGGAGCCTCATTCAGCGGCTCCTTCCTCCTGCCTTCAACTCTGCTCCTGAGCTGCCCTCCCTGCACCGCAAGCTTTAGTGTTTCTGGAACATTCCAGGTCCCACTGCTGGGCTACAAGTGGCTGTGGGAGGTGGGGGCAGGATCTCCCCTGCAGAGCCAATTCCTGGGGCTCTTCTCTCCTGACATGACCTCAGCTCTCTCAGGCCGGGCCCTGGGGTCTTGGGCCCTCAGCTGCCAGGCTGTCTTCTGGGTGAAGGAACACTCACGGGAGGCCGGGGAGTGTTCAGTCGCTTCCCAGAAAGCTTGATGGTGGTCCTGGCCCTGCCCCTTCAGGATCTCCTGAGCCTCTGGCTAAAGAGGCTGCCAGCCTGTCCCCCTCACTTCTCCTGTGCCTGGTGCAGGCCCCCGGCCCCAGAGCTCCCGGGTCCAGGAGAGCTTAGTGAGGGGCTAGACCCTCCCGCCTCACCCACCCCTCTTCCAGTGGGCCTTCCAGAGCCTTGAATCTTTCCTCCAAGCTCTGTTAGGCCCAAGTCAGTCTTGTTCCTCTAAGCCAGGGTGCTCCCTCCACCACCCCACATCCAAAATGGGGGCACCTCGCCAGCTGCGCAGGGAAGGAACCAACCCCAGTGCCTTCTGGGGTTCCGCTCAAAATTCCACGAGAGGACCACCCCTGCCCCCTGGAACCACCCCCAACACACACAACAAGGTGTGAAACTCCAGCTCTTCTGTGTCCCCAATGGCAGGACACTTGCTGTAGAAGACATGTTCTGAAAATGGGACCCAGAAATGGATTTAAAAATCAAATCTACTTTAAAAGCAATGAAAGTATCTGCCTTCTCTCACGCTCTCTCTCCCTTTCTCTTTTCTCCCCCTGCCCACTTCCCTCTCTCTTTCCTTCCCTCTTCTTCCTTCCTTCTTTCTCTCTGAACTTCCTTCCTCCCCACTTCCCTTCCTTGCTTCCTAAACTGGAGGATCCCCTAACTGGGGGGCCGGTCAGGGAAGCCAGATGTATGTGGATGTTCCTGGGCTCAAGCTGAGTGAGTGGAGGCCCCCAGGAGGTGCGATCGCCCAGCTCTGTGGACTGAGCGGCCCCAACTGGGAAGGGACGGTTTGTTCTGGAGCTGAGGAAGCTCCCATCTCCGCTGGGGGTTTTCTGTGACCTGTGTGCCGCTGACTGGTCAGGATCCCCCTTGGGCCCGTCCTATGCGGAGCTCATGGGGGCCAAGAAGTTATTGGCAGAAACACAAGAGCAAAATTAGCTTTCGTCCTCTGAGTCTGTGGCCGCCGGCCAGCATCTCCTTCCAATGCGAACCTTCTTATTTTCATTCTGGAAGTTTTTTGTCAGGTTTATTGCAAATGAAAGGGAGAGCAGGCAGAAACAAAGTGACATTTGCTGAGCTGGCTGGATTGTTTCTAAGTCTATTGTCAAGAGCACAGGAGAGAGAGAGTGTGTGTGTGCGTGTGTGCGTGTGCACATGCGCCTTTCCAGGGCACTCGCCTTGGTGGGGGCTTGAACTCAAGTTGCAGACGGGCCTTATTTTATGACCAGCCTTGGAGTCCCTAGGCTTGTCCTGTCCCTGCGTGCGTGATACGTGGGCATGAGGCCAAGAGATGGCGAGTGTCATTGTCAGTCACCACTGGAAACATATGCAGGACAGATGGGCACTAAACCCACTGGATAATGGAGAATTCTAATCAATTTCATTGGCATCAAAATTTTATGTTCCTGTAAACTTATGAAAGCCATGAAATTAAACTGACTGCTTCACAACAGACCAGAGTGAGTAATCTGACTGAAAAAAAAAAACAGAAAAAGCCCTCCAGAAAAACTAACTGATAAACCATAACTCAAACTAATACCCTTTTAAAAATGGAGACTGGGATCCTTCAGTCTTAACATTTATTGCCAGATCCCTTTGGCTAAGAGAATTTGTTATACAAGGTACGTTCCTCTTTTCCGGAAGAACGTGTGGCCTAGGTATGCTGGCTGCGTCTCTCCGGTTGGTGATGGACAAGGAAGGCCCCATCTCCGAGCATGCAGGGAAGGTCTGGGGGCCACCAGGTGACAATCCTACTGTCAGGAGAACCACCAGACCACCAAAGGAATGCTACTTAAAGGAATGCTTTCTGACTTCCACAAGAACTTGATAGCTGGGCGGTGGGGGGTGGGGTGTGGTGAAGAGGTGAACAGTGTTTCCTTTGTGGACAAAACCCTTTTGCCAGCAGGGCATTTGTTAATATAAAACATCTAAACACCCTCCTCCTCTTCTCCTGTGCACATCACTTCTGGCTAGGAGGGTCAGGCTTTTCTCCTAATAGATGGTTGGTTTGAATTTAAAAACCAAAGAAGAGTTCGTTCGGTCTTCTCCCCGGAGGCGCGCAGCTTCTCTGGGTGTCGTGTTTGCTAACCAGCTTCACACACCTGCTCACCCAACGCCGGCTAAAACAAAGTCAAGCTCAGAGTGAAGAGCGACATACTCCATGGTTGGTGCAGCCACCCTGATCCCATCACACGGGGAAAGCACGTTTCGTGAGTCCTCGGCTGGTGGGCTGTTTTCCGAATACTCTTACAACCCAGGGAATTGGCTGTCATGCGTCTAAGCAAAAAGATTGGGAAACTGGGCCAGTGAATAAGCGCTTACTTTGGATCTGTACTACTGATCCAAAAAAAAAAAAAAGAAAAATCGCTGGAAAAAATGAGACCCTTTCTTCTATTTTGGCTCAAAACAGTCCAAAGCAAATAAGTTTTGTCTCCCTCCTGTCCATGAGCTCAGCTCAGGGTTGAACAAACTTCAGCAAAATCACAGCAAAAGCTCATTCCCCAGCAGCCGCCCCGCCCTCAACTCCCCGCATCCTTGTTTCTTACCACTGAGGCCTCCCCAGCCCTTTCTCAGCAGGAGAGACCCCGGGCGGGGTGGGGGGCACTTCTTTGTTCTCTTTCTCTACTTGTCTGTCTGCACGTCCTGCTGGAGGGAAGGCGCTCCTGCACCTTCCAATACTGACAGTGGCCCTTGAGGCCCTGGACACTGGTAGCCACTCTGAGCTCTGGATACTTGTTCTCAAGCAAAAGGGAGCTGACAGTGGCCTGGTGCGAAGCAGGCTGGACCCAGGCTGCAGCCCCTGCTCCCTGAAATGCCTGCATCTGGATTAAACTGGAACAACGAGGTTTTGACCCCTTGGGCTGCACGGTGAAGCCACACTGTGAGCTCTGTGAATGGCACTGCATTAAAAAGAGGTCTCAAGAGGGTGTAGGGGTGGGGGGGATCCAAGAAGGAGGGGATATATGTATACAAGGGGCTTTCCGAGTGGCACTAGTGGTAAAGAACCCATCTGCCAATGCAGGAGATGTTAAGAGACGTGGGTTCAAACCCTGTATCGGGAAGATTCTCTGGAGAAGGGAATGGCAACCCACTCCAGTATTCTTGCCTGGGAAATCCCATGGACAGAAGAGCCTGGTGGGCTACAGTCCATGGGGTCACAGAGAGTCTGACACAACTGAAGCAACTTAGCACACATAGCCGATTCACTTTGTTTTACAGCAGAAACTAACACAACTCTGTAAAGCAATTATACTCCAATAAAAAATAAATAAATCTCAGAAGTCTCACAGATAAATTCATTTTCTGGTTGATAATTTAAGGTAAGCACATTTTCCACTTGGAAATTGTGCCATGCCCAGAATAAACAAACAACAAAATTTGAGTTAATTATACTGTATTTTGAATTGTTTTCCCAGCTTTTCTGAATGTATCACATAATGTTTTTTTCTGATACAGTGAAAACATTTGAATATACAATAGATTACAAGGCCTGTAGTGACAAATTAAAGATAATGTGCTTTTTAATCTATTTACAGAAATAGCTTGATAGTTCACAGATACAATTCTTCCTGTTTTTTTTTGGTTGTTGACAGAACATAAGCAGTTTCTTACATTATTTTTAAAATTTACAATTAGGCTCCTTCCCTTTATCTGGAAGGAAATGGAGTTCCCCCTCTCAGCAGTGCTTTCATCTTGTGGAAAAGAGGTGACAGGAAAAGTGCAGATGAGAAGAAGTTCGGAGAGGAAGAGAGGAAGAACCACGGGCAGGCTCAATATAACATGACAATTAAAAAAGTAAACTATTCATGCTCTGGAACGGAAGGACGATTTACTGCCTTGCATGAGTGCTGTCTTGTTCTCCACAAACACGTGCAGTGTGCAAGAATGCCCATTCTAGGATGGAGCGTGCAACCACCCAGGGCCAAAACGCTGCTGGAACAAAACCGCTGTTGCCCCTTCATGGTGATACAACGATGTAAACAAGGAAAACAGGCCCCGGCGACCCATCAGGACGAAGCTGTCAGGGTGGGGTGACACTGCCCTGTCACGTTACAGAACTGGTTTTGGTAGGAGCATGAGTGCATGGATCGAGACGGTGGATGTTGATTTTAGTAACTGGATCATCCTAGGGAAAAGCTCCATGCTAAAACAATGTCTGTTACAAATCATGAAATTGACACAGGGTTTCTAGAGGATGTTAAGGCTTTGGGTTTTTCACTGGTGTTTGTTTGTGTGTTACTGGTGCTTCGGTTGAATGCAGTAGCGTGAAGTGGGTGTGCCCCAGAGGCCTGTCCTGGCACAACCCACCCGATGGCTTATGATGTGGGGCAGCGGTGGCACCCGAGGGGCTGGGCCCTTGTTGTATTAGGTCACAAAATGCTGGAGTCCCACTTCGCTGATCCACTTCTCTAGGTGTTCCCAGCTGGTCCTCTTCTCTGTCTCTGACCATCCCCCGGTCCAAGGACAGCTGTGGGGACTCCAGGACCATGTGTGGCATTGGTGGGATTCTATTTGGCTTCCACGAGGGCCTGAGAGTCTGGCTTGCTGCTGCCTGGGCCAGCCCAGGACTGGAGGGATGAAGAATCTCTTCCTGAGCCTGGATCAGGCCCTAAGCCCCAGCTTGCTGCTCGGGCAGCTTCTTGAGGCTAAAACTGGAAGGGACTGGCAGATGGTCTCCTGAAGGGTGCAGGGTGTCACGGCCTGCCCCAGACCTGGCAGCAGCTTGTGCTGAGGGGTTTGCAGCATCTCAAGCTGGGCTGGAGCATGGGGCTGCCTTCCTGTACTGCAGAGGGATGAGAGAGGAAAGCCAGTCTCCTCCTGGTGGCCAGACTGTCTCAGGCATGTGGGATGGTCACGCTGGCGCTACAGAGCTCCTGCCAGAGGTCACCCACGAGGCTGTTGCTATGGGAACAGATGCAGGAGGTCTTATGTTTGCGATGGTGACAGAAACCACCAGTCAGGGGGAACACAGACAAACTTTCGGAGTCTCGGTAACTACTGAACGGCGAGTTCACAAGAACACGCCAGGTTTTCTCTCAAAACACGCAGGTCTGAGTCTATTGTAATCCTGCCAACATAATGGACAGTGACAGGAGAAGATGAGGAAATTGGGAAATGAGCTGCTGAAGGGATTGAAGCGGCACACTGTATTGGCTATGTAAGAAAAGTGACTTGAAGAATGTAGATCACTGTCCATGTGATTCATGCAATAAATTCATTTTGTCACATTTGAAATGTTTTTTGCAAAAGGATGTTTTTATCCTAAAGTATCTGGATAAGTGCTTCAAATCTCTTTTTTTCTTCCAAGTAATTTTACCTTATCTTCTTAGATTTAGGTTTTAGTTCAATCAATTTCCGAAGGCTCACATAAGTCACATTCTTCAATATTAAAAAACAAACAACCAACTGAATCCAAATGCTCTCTAGGTATTTTGGTAGATTAGGGTCTTTAGGAATCTCTGGAAGTCCTTGACTGAAATCTTGGGAAAGCACAACTCACATGCAATTAATAATAGAAACAGGAAACCAAGGACAACATTCAGCCATGCTCTTCTGCACTAAGTGAACACTCTAGGTGTATCTGCAATGCCACCAGAAGTCTTTACTCTTGAGGAAGAAGAGTCAGGATTCCGGCAAATCAAAATTACCGAAGACAAGTTCCACCAACTCACCATTTTGCCAAGATTTGCTTCCAAAAGGCAGACTATCTGTTTCCTCTGTCCTTTGTAAATAGTCAACAGAGTTGGTTTTGGCATGGAAATTGTGAATTATTTTATAATATTTCAAGTTAAATGGCTAATGTTTTTTTCTTTTCCCTATAATACTTCCCTGAAATACTGCTGGAGATGTACATACAGATATATAAAGGCATTTCAAAAGCAATATAACATTACATATAATAATAAATTTATTGTGTAATCAACAGTTAGGGGAAAAAGAAACCCGGATTTTGTGTTAAAGGGATGTGATCTAGTTCTGTTACATTAGCAGGACACACATGACACTAATATAATCTGTGTTTCACAAGGACCTTTCTGAAGGCACCCACGTGTTGCAAACTTTGCCTCCATTCCCTGATGGTCTTGGTTAGCAGATGGATACAAGTCCACACAGACACTTGAATAAGTTGAAAACTTCTCCATTCTAAGAAGACACTAGACAATAATACCTTAAACATTCTACACATAATTCAAGTAGCCAGTCTTACAAAAAGAAGGGGAGAGGGAGAGAAGGGGAAATGGATTTACCTTGCTAGTCCCTTCCTGACCTACTGCCTAATCTCACCATTTAAATGCACAGTGTCTCACCCCACCACCTGGATTCTTTATTCTTTTCTTGTAAAGGAAGGGGCTGTCAAGTCAGGAGATGGTCTGGATTGACAGGGTGATCTGTCTCTGGCTTTGAAGCTGGAAGTCACTGGTAATGACTGGCTGAGGATGGCCAGCCACTCAGAGACTCTGAACCTGAGCTTTCAAACCTGTTGGACAGAAGAAAACTCCTCCACCTTAAGTGAGGTATGGTGAAGACAGAAGGGGTTCCAGGTGCTTTGAGTTCCTTGGCAGAAAACTGTCATAGAGTGAGAGGCTGCCTTATGTGCAGAGGCACATTTGCATATGTGAGAACTTAATTTTGTGGCTGAAGAGTTACTTTCTTTAAATTGATAAAGCATCTGCTCCAAAGTGTTGCCGTAGGTTTGTCTGTACTCCTGAAGTTTGGGAGTGAGGCAGCATAGCACTGAAACCTACTTGGGAGGTCAAAGGTGATGGTGGGCAGGGGGCAGGGGCCGCAGGTAGAGAGGAGGGAGCCACAAGTGTCCTGGAGAGGAGTGGCCTCCATGAGACCGAGGCTGGAGCTGGGGACTGGAGGCTGCGAAGCAGGGAGGGCTGGAGATGGAAGCCTTGGGCGCCAGGGTGTCTGTGCCCAGGGGACGCCCAGCGCAGCGTGCTCAGCCACGTCACTCTCCTTCAGCTTCCTTCCTGGAATCACATGGACAAGTCCAAACGGTTCCTGCTTTCTGTGATCACTCCTCTTGCCCTGTCAACCTACAGGGCAAGAATTTTGCTTGCTGAGTAGATGGAGGAGGTCAGAGGAGGACAGAGGAGGAGCAGCTCTGAGAACGCTGCAGCCTGCTGCAGGCCCCTCGGAAGGAGGTAGGATGGACAGAGGCTGTGGTCCTCTGACCCCCAGCAATTCCCGGGGAGGCAGCGGGGGCATGCTTCACTGATGGTGTGGCTCCTGAAAGACTGCCCCCAGCCTGGTCCGTCCAGGCCAGTGCCTCATCCTGCCCAGCTCTGAGACCCCAGGCGCCATCCGGAGAGGACTGTTTTAAAAATAAAATATACGACCAATGTGGAGTGCCCCCTCCCTCACAGAGGGACCAACACAATACTGGTGCAGCTGATTTTTCTGAATGGTACTTCTTCTGTTGCCCTTTCTCCATGGAAAGACTGAATACTCCATGAGACCATGAACACGAAAATCATCAGAACAGACGACACTAAAGAGCCACTGTTTAAAAATGTCAGCAAGGACAGGGGGTCTCAGAATTCTTTTCAGTTTCCTTGTGGGGTTCCTAGTGGGAGAGCCCTCAGGAAAAGCAGTGACTGACCCCAGGGTCCCCTCAAACAGCCTCAAGTGGCACGATGCAACCACGCCGGAGGGAGCTTTGGCATGCGGTAGGTGCTCAGCGCATACTGTCTGAACGCTAGTTATCTGTTGGAAAGACTCTGACGAGCTTCGTCTTTATACTGTAAAGTTCTTTGAGTGCCTCTTCAGATGTACTTAGGTAACTTGGACATTGAAGTCTAAAATATAATTGGATTGGAAATGCATATATCAACAAGCAGCATTCATCTGTTTATTCACATTTCCAATGGAGAGTCCAGAAATGTGTGGAAACTTCACCCGCAGATGCTTGCAATTAAAAATCACCATCCATCCTGTTATTGTAGATCACGGGTATTTTGGTTTGGATCAAGGAACATGAAGTGAGTTTATGTGCCTTTTTTTTTTCCCCTGGAGAAAGGAGTCACAGCTTTCATCAAATTATCAAAGGCTCTGTAAGCCCTCCCCTGCTGAAAGGTTAGGAATCGCTGCTGTTGGTGACTGAGATTTCAGGAAGCGCTCAGATTGCTCAATGTCTGACTGCATAATTCCTTCCTCCTTCCGACTTTCAGGCCCAGCAAGGATGTGAGAATTCCCCATGCTTGGGTTATGCTGATGTAAAGTTAACAATGCTTTGAAGTCATGTTATTTAAAAAACAATTTTTACAAAGGAAGAGTATAAAAATAGACACTTGGGGAGATTTTGAGTTTATGCCTATGTGGTGAGCAAGTGTGTACTTTTTCTTAATCACTTCCTCTCGCTATCTGCTGCCCCAGTCCACTTCCTCTCCCTGGCACTTAGGATCCAACCAAGGTGGCCACCATGACAGATTTCCACAGCAGAGAAAAGCCGCCACGCGGAGAGATTTCAGCTGAAAGAAGTTGTCTCCAGCCCCAGCATAACGTCCATGTGAAAGCCACACTAAACCACACCACTGGACAAGCTGGTGTGACCCAAAGACCCCAGTTACCCAGAGACATGTATTAGGCAGGACAGTCCAAGAGCTCAGAGATCACTTCCCAAGAGACCAGAGAAAAGGCCAGACCTCAACTTGGGTAAGGTCAATTCTTTGCACTTATTTCAGAACTGTCTCTAAAATGCAAGCTAAAGTGTTTTTTTTTTGTTTTGTTTTTTTTTTTTAAAGGGACAGAATAGATGAAAATGAAAGTGAAAGCGAAACCACAAATGGAAAGACCTGGGGCTTGCTGCAGAGAATTAGAGGTTGCCTTTTGAGAGACTGTTAGAGAAAGCTCCTAAAGTCCCTGGGGTGTCCTTCCTGAGAGAGAAATGCAACAAAGACTGCTGTTTCCTCACCTCCTGGAAAGTTCCTGAAGATGCCTGCAGTACAGACTCAGAGGAAAGAGCACCCTTGTCAACAAGTGCTGTCCTCACGGGTTCCAGGATCACCTAGACGCTGGGTGCCTCCAAGCTGATGAACAAGTCCTGGGCCACGTCCGCATCCCCCTTCCCTGAGTCGACAAGAGCATCCTTGCTTTGCAGTTGTACCTAAATACCGCCAGGAAAAACCATGGGGGAAGGTGCTAACCCCCAACAGAGCCAGCATCTGGCTCCAGGTATGGAGGTGCTGTGAGCCCCTGTGATGTGTGAAATGGCATGTGCATTTTCTGTCAAAGACACTCTGAATTTAAACAGATTCTGAACTGGGTCTGTGACCTTCCCCGTGACACAGGCCTCCCAGAACTCTGTAAGGGAGAGGCTATGTGGGCACATCCTTTTAAAAAACTGACTTCATTTTCTCAGTCAATTGCTTGAGATATTGTGGGAGAAACTCTTTAGGAGGCCTAATAAAATCAGGATATGGTCTCAAACAAAATTTGTGCTGTAACCTGCTTTTGTTAAAAAGTCCCATGCATAAATAAATACTTCTCAAAAAAAGTTAACTATAGCAAATACAGTCATTTAACACACACACACACAATAGGGTTTTGAGTTGCCTTGTTTTCAAAGTCACAATGTAAAAGACCCGCAAACCTTATTTCAGCCACAGTTGGCCGGCAAGGAGGACTGCTGTAATCTCAGAAGTGGTACCAATCTTGTCAGTGAGGAAATACCAGGCAGCAAATGTTGAGATTTTAGAGTATTTTAATGTTCATTTCTTTGGGGTGGTGGGGAGTGGGGTGCATTTTGAAATTATCAGGATTAACAATTCAAAAAGGTAGAGCAAAGGAAAGATGGAGAACTCAAACAGTTGGTTCTCACGAATTTAATTTCAGATTCTAGGCATGACGTGATTTTCCGAAACAACCACCAAAAAGTGCTTACCTCGAAAACCTAGAAATGCAAACGCGGACAGACCTTTGGAAACTACAAATCACGACAGCCCACATAACGGGAAGCACGCGGCCCTTTGGCTCTCAGTGTCAAGTGCAAATGTGCGGGCGTCTCCACAGCACGGTCAGGGTCACGGAGCTGTGGGGAGCCTCCAGGCTCTGTGAAGGTTTCATAACTGATGCTCTGCGTTTGTCTGCCTTGGATACAATTCTGTGTGCTTGTTTATATGGATTTGTACATGGAGAATTTGATCAGACCTGAGGCCAAGAAGAAAACAGCGATTGCAACTCAAAGCAACTATATTTACACACATTCAATTCTGAAGTATTGCTTCCTGCCCTAAGTTCACAGGAGGTATACCGCTCTGAAGGATGCCTCCACTGAATCGGTAGTGCCTGAGACTGCTGCTCAGAAGTCTGTCTTCAGCAACCGGCTGTGTCGGAGGCCCAGTGCAGCCCCTGCGGACACTCCGTGGTTCTGCGCTGAGGTACGCTTCTGAGCAGTGGCTGGGAGGGACCCAAGTCACGAGTGGAACACCCAGAGGGAATACCTGTACTGGTTGCTTAGGAAGGCTCGGGGTGTTTTTTAAAGACAATTTAAACTGTCCTTTGAAGGTTCCCATTTGCACAATGCTGAACTGGGCCGGCGGGGGTCACCACACTATCCCTGTTATCTGCTGCCCCTTGGCTTCCTAGGAATCACAAACAACCTTTGCAGGAGGGGAAGGAAAAAAAGAGTTTTCAAGGGAGGAAGCATGTGCAGAGATGAGCTTTGTGGAGCAGAAAAGCAGAGAACTCAGCAACCGCCCAGCAGCCCCTGGCCACCACGGTAGCTGCAGAGCCTGGGGCCCATGGATGGGGGGACAGAGGATGAGGGCCATACATGACACCCACCTTAATACTGATGGAAGGAACCCCTGACGTGCCCAGAACCCTGACGGACAGGCAGAGCATCAGGTAGTGTTTCTAAGAAAAAATAAAAATTCTGCGGTATTTTATAAGAATACATTCTTTAGAAGCAAGAGGTATTGTCACAGTCATCCTTTCTCCGGTGTTGGAAGACCAACAGTCTGACAGCAAAACCTGAAGGCAAATCCCCCTGGACGTGGAGATTCTGGCTTATGACTGCGCTGCTGGGGGCCTTCCCAGGCACGTCACTAGGGAGCTGGCTGATCCAAGTCAATACTTCATGGTGCCGGGGAGGGCAGATTCTGTGTGAGTTTGGCAAGGAGGAGTGATAAAGGGACTTGGTGCAGATGCAAAAGCTACACAGAGATTTGCTGGGGACAAGAAAACGCACAGGGCACGTTGGTGAAGGCCTCACACAGAGGAGGAGCTAGCCCTCCCCTACCGCATGGGCTGCAGCCACCGTAAGAGGGAGGGGTCATGTGACTGTGACAGGACAACTCTGGCCTGAGTTCAAGTCTACATAAACTTCAGACTCAATGTGGCAAAACAATTACAAGGGGGATAACGGGATTCGTAACAAAGGGCACAGAAGTGAGTTCTGTGCTCACTTGGGTTTTCTGTACTCCCCCAGGTTCCAACACCGCATTTACATCCAGACGATTCTGCCCCTACTGACAGTGTAAGAGCTCCACCTAAAGAGGACTGGGGTCCACTCACCAGGCCCGATCCCGCCACAGACAAGCGCTGCGCAGGCTGAGAATGGAAAGAACGGAGAAACTTCCCAAAAGTGGAGGCCAAGCGTTACCTGCCAGCCCTGGTGCTCGGCCCAGACCTGCTTCACACTGAGCTGTTCTGACCCAGCTCCTGCCATGGGCAGACCCCATGGGCGAGGGGTAGGAGCAGAGCTTTTGCGTTCAAAGTGGTGGCCGAGGGTGCCCCAACCCAGAGCATGGGCCATGCCCACTGGGGTCCTGCTCCTCAGGGGAGACGGCCCTGGGTGGCTGGAGCTCTAATGGCCCCACCTTCATCTTTCCGCTGTGACCTACCCTCCGCTCCAAGCCTAGTTCCCTTCACTAGAGAGAACAGCCCAGCAACCCTCCCCGAGACACACACGGTTCCTGATAAATAAATAAATAAATAAATGCAACCCTCGGATGTTTATTTTGCGTTTCCCTCTGGGACGAGTCAGCTTCAAAGATGAGCCCCTCCACCCCGGCTGGAAGACCCCTCAGGGCGGGGGAAGAATGGAAAAGGGCTTTTAGATACCTGAGGCCTGGGTTCACAAGCTGTGAGACCGATTGGCATTTGGAATCTTGGCCTGCATGAGGAGGAAGCCCTAAAGCCGCTTGGGTGTGGGGGGCCAGTGGGTGCAGCCACAGCCCCCGAGGGCCCGAACGCCCTAGAAGTTGCGGGTAGGGGGTTGCCGGCTCCTCGAAGTCCTCAGCCTGCGCCCCCAGCACCCCGCCCAGTGAGTCACTGGCACTTGATCTCATATTCATGAATACAAGTGTGTGTGCGTGTATGTGTTTACATAGAAAGGTCAGGTCACTGGAAAAACACTAGTATGTATACAGGAAAAAAAAACCTCAAAAACATTATATTAGCCAAAAAAAAAAAAGTGTCTCGTGAGAAAAAGCAATAAAAATCTGATTTTAACCACAGCTTCTGTTTTAACGTCTACCACCACCCAGCGCCACACCCTGGCTGCGCTTCCCTGGACTCCAGGGCGCGCCAGCCCCTGAAGGCACTTGTTCTCCACGCTTCTGACGGTCACACCGAGTGGGGGAAGGGGAAGGAGGCAGATGAAAGTGAACCCTGAACGACTGTGATCCACACAGAAGTTAGGGCTGCAGTAACCACACGACACCACGTCTGGGGACGGGAACGGTGGCGCCTGGACGGACAGAGCACCGCGGGCGGGCTGGGCCACGTCACGCCCTCTTTGAGACGTTGAGCTTGGTGAGTTCGTTGGCTTCCTCCATCCCGGCTTCTTCACAGTCGCTTTTCTCTATGGCTTTGCCGAACCGACACCTTTCTTCGGCTCTGATGGGCTCCTTCCAGGGTCTCTTAGCAGACGGGTGAGCGTCCCTGGTCTGGGCGTTGTTCTCAGAACCCAGGGACACCTGGTCCGGGTTCTGAATGGAAGGCACCAGGTTGGCTATCTCGTCTGTGGGGGAGCGTCCGATACTGCCATCCACCTGGACGCGGATGTCAGGAGAGATGGACAGCTGGTGCTGTGGCACCAACCCACTGTCCGTGCACTTGGGGTACAGGTAGGTCTTCATCTGGCCTTTGCCCTTGACGTTCACCGTCCCTCGGTAGTCGAACTCATAGCCCATCTTGCTCAGGACGCGGTAGCTCTCCTCGCTGACCTGGATGCGGCACTCCACGCCCGTGGTGTCCATCCTGCTGGCGATGTTGACCGTGTCCCCCCAGATGTCATAGAGCAGCTTGGTGGTGCCGATGACGCCCGCCGTCAGGGGCCCATGGTTGAAGCCCACCCTGAGCTTGAAGTTGAACCACAGCATGTTGTTGTTGAAGTCGTCCACCACACGCATCATCTCCTTGGCAAACTCGAAGAGGATCTGCAGGTGCTCCTGCGGGTGGCTGCCGTCGCGGCACTGCGTGGCGTTCAGCCCGGACGCGGCCATGTACGTGGCCCCGATGGTCTTGATCTTCTCGATGCTGCTGTAGTCCGGCTTGCTCAGGAGCTCGTCGAAGTCCCCGATCAGCTCGTTGAGGACCCGGTAGCACTCCTTGCCGCCCTCGTAGTTCTCCTCGTAGAACTCGCTGAAGTTCACGATGCTGGCGAAGATGACGCCTCCGCTGTCGTGGTTCTTGGAGTAGGTCTGGGACACCTTCAGCTGCTCGGCCACGTGGTAGGGGATGATGTTCCTCAGCAGCCAGTCGGCCTGGTCCCTCATGCTCTGGATCTTGGTGCGGTGCAGGTCCGCCTCCACGTCCCCGTGGTAGTGCAGGCGGTAGCTGACTTCGAACTCTCGGTTCAGGAACCAGACCAACAGGAGCAGGAGGAAGAAGACGAGAATTACCTCCTGGCCGATCAGGCTGGCTGGGCTCCTGCTGTCGTGAGGCAGCGAGGTGTTGCACAGCTTTCTCGTGGAGCTGGAGGGGAAAGAGAGGAGAGAGGGCGTGCCTCCTGAAATGTATCTTTAAGGAAAGGTTACTGCCCAGCACTTCCAGGTCCGAGCCAGCCCTGCCTAACCAGCATCCTGCACAGAGTTCTGTGCAGCTCAAACCTGCTGTCACCTGCAGCTGCCAAGTGACCTGTTTCTGTTTAGAAAGATGTGGCGAGGTAGAGTCACTCTTGTAAGATTTCTATATTAAGTGTTGTTTTTCAGAAGTCTTGAGCTCCTTGATTTTTAAAATCTTTTTTGTTTTCCCAACTTTCTAGTTTGAAAAGTCTCCACCTTACAAAAAAAGGTTAAGACACTAGCAAAACACACATTTGTACACCATTCTCCTGCATGAAACTGTTGTCAACATTGTGCTACTTTGCTTCCCCGCCCCCTTTGTCAATACACACTCCACACATGGGGTACACACGTGCATGCACATTCACACAGGCACACTTTGCTGAATATTCTGAAAGCAAGCTGCAGACACCAGGCCACTTCAGTCCTGAACTGCTCAGGACCTGTCTCCTAAGAGCAAGGCCATCTCCCTGGGAACCATACCACACTGCCATACCCAAGATACTTCATATCCATATACTTTGATACAATCTGCCTGCTCCCTGCTTCCCACTCCCCCACCCGGGTCAGCTCTGTTTTACCAAAGTCATTTAGGACAACTTTAACATTTAAATATATATATATATATAATGTATACTTTTAAGAGTAACATGCTATAAGAAACTCAAACATTATAACCAATGGAAAATGAGCGTCTTTCCTATGTGGTGCCCTTTCGCACTATTCTAACCCTTGGCTGTGCAGTCACAACCAGACGCTGGGTGAGGGTGCTTGACTTCGCCCATCTTTGGGCTTCTAGGAACAAGGTTGCAGCTGGTACTCCCAAGTGCATCTTTGTGCATATGAAGGAGCCTGTCTATGGGATAAATTCCTGAGCATGGACCTGCTGAGTCATGTAAAATATCGCACTTAGAATTCCAGTAGAAATGTCCAAACTACCCTTCTAAAGGTGGAACCCATTTCTCTTCCTTCTGATGACCGAGTCCGCTCGGTCTGTTTTGCGGCTCCACGCAGTGTGGTGAAGGTGCTGTAGGGCCACAGCTGGCACCCGAGGACTGAAGATGAGCATGGGCTACTGCCTCTTCTAAAGTTTATTCTTTAAGTAGAATTTTTTTTTTTCCACTTAAAAATACTACATACTCAGCATAGAAAGGTTAGGGCAAAAGTAGAAAGAAAGAAAAGATTCACTGTCATTGTACTATCCAGAGGCGATCACTGTTAATGCTTGTTGAATTTCCTTCTCATCCTTCTTCTATTAGCTTACATGGCTGTGATTGCTCTGCTTATGTAAACTGTTCCCTGCTGTACTCTAAAATGCACAGAGAGGGCTGCTGGGTCACTTATAGGAATATAATTATATACAAAACAGATGGATCCTGAGTGTAGAGAGTGCCATGGCACAGAAAGCTCAATTCTGTAATCAGAGTGCTTTAAATGAGTTTCACTGTTAGCAGTAACTTAAGGATATTAAAAATAACGAAACTGACCAATCTGGCCATAACGCCTTCCATGAAACATAGTCCCAAAGGCCCCAGCCTTGGAGTAATGGCCCGACTGGCGCCCCCGCGAAGAGCTCTGGGACCCTTGGGCAGGTCACACCACTTTCAGGTCTGTTTGCTCATGTGTAAACTGAAGATGGGCTGGAGTATGGCTAAGTCTCTACCGGCCCAAGGGCCTGGGCAGAAAGGGCCTGAGGCTGTGTCGTAGAGAGGCCCACGGGCAGGGCACCCTAGGTTGGCATCAGGAGCTTGGCTTTGGGGCATTCCCGCCAGTCCCTGAGGAGAGGGGCTCACTGTGCCTGGACTGCTTGTACAAACAAGAGTGTGTGCTGGGCACTTGCCCTTCCTCCAGAAACCTGGGACTTTGGAACCTGCCAGGCAGAGGGTGCCCATGTGATGCGCTTCCCCGGCGGGCGCTGCACACCGGCTGTCACAGCTCACAGCTGGGGGTTTCAGCACATCCTGCACGACCCCACTGGGCGCAGACTCCTGAACACAGGTGTCTGGTCTCCTCCAGGCTTCGTCTCACGCACCCTTGCCCCTGACGTTTGTGCTTTCTGTCCTGTTTGCTGTATTAAACCATGGTCATGGGTACAACCATGTGATGAGTTCCGAGTCCCCCAAGAGAATGATCTCTGCGCGTGGGTGGTCTTGGGGACCCTGACTTCACGCCTAAGAACCAGGAACCAAAAAAGGCCTCTGTGGCAAGATTCACCACACTCCACTCATTTATTTTGCCAACTGTCACTTAATTAAATGGCAAAACATACTATGAATCACAAGCACTAAATATAACTCTTTGAGGTACTGAAACAGATCCATGTGCAGCCCCTTAAGACCTCTGGCTGGCCCAGAGGAGGGGAGAGTCTGGAGGGAGGAGTCTTCCCTGCGTGAGCTCCTCTCCTTGGCTGAGGAGCTGGCCTTTCCTTTGTTTCTCCGAAGAGGCAACACTGAGGAAGCCTCTGTATGGGGAGATGTCACTGAGGCTTCAGGTCATCTTGGAACCAGGCAGTGTAGAATCCAGAGGGAGAAGTTGGCAGGGCAGAGGAGCCGACTGCGCTGCGGCCAAAGCCGGCAGCGTGGCCCAAGCCTGGGACGGGCACGGCCAGTCTGCTCTGGATGGAGCAGGGGAATGTGAGAAGTGGCGGGTGGGAGAGGGAGAGGGAACACCGGCACTGCCTGCTCTGGCCTTTGCTTAAAAAGGAGGGAGGTTCAAAAGGGAGGGGATATGTGTATACCTATGGCTGATTCATACTGAGGTTTGACAGAAAACAACAGAACACTGTAAAGCAAGTATCCTTCAATTAAAAAGAGAGAGAGAGAGAAAAGGAAGGGTCCTAGTGCACAGACTGTCATGTCGAGCCCTGGGCTGCCCTGCAGCCAAAGAGATCTGCCACCAGCGGGTGAGAGAATTACCTCCACTCTACACCTGTGTTTCTTATTCTACTGCAGAAGGGATAATGAAGGCAATAGCTCTACTCCTAAATGCAAATAGTGAAGGTCAGTCCCTAAAGGAGGGATTTTATATGAAAAAATGCAAGAGACAACTCAACAGGTGGACAAATGGAGGTTACAGTAAGATAGAGTTCATTACCACAGAAGAGAGGGATTACAAAATAGAGAGAAACAGAAAACACAGACCACTGGTCATCCTAGCCAGCTCAACATGGGATGTGTCAACATTCTGGTGTATTTCAATGCCATTTAAAATCTACGCTTAGGATGGGTGCAGGGACCCAGGAGGAGGTGTGATGGGGAGCTTCTGCGCTGCAGTACTGTTTCACTTCTTGGTCTGGGTGGCAGTTAAATGGGTGTGTTCACTTGTGAAAATTCACTGAGCTGTTCTTCTCATCTAGGGACTTTTCTGTGCAAATGTATTCTACTTCTATTGTCACTTTAATTCTCCTTCCCAACATCTAAACGTACACAGATATTTAATTTAATTATAGAAATAGAAAAAAATCACCACTTGCCATTAGATCATAAGTATTACATATCTTACTTTTTAAAATATATAATGAAATACCTACCTGTAGCTATAAGACATATGCAATTTCACATAAAAATGAAAGATGAAAAATCATGAATGCTTTCCATAACTTCCATATTTTAATGGCTGCAATATTTGGGTACATGTTTCATAACTAATTTCTCTTTTACTGACAACTGAAGTTGCTGATGAACATTCAATATTATAAAACACTATGATCAATATTTGGGGGCATGTGGCCTTTACCAAACGCTGGCTGAATTATTTCCTCAGCAGATAAGCTTAAAAAATAGAATTATTAGGCTAAAGGTGATGAACATTTTTAGGACTAGTTTTTATAGACTGTCAAGTTACTTTACCATCTGAAAAGTAATGAAGCATGGCAGAAAAAGCATGGCCTGGCAGTGACGGAGGCAAGGGTTAAAACACTGCCAGTTACTAGCTGTGTGTCCACAGGCAGGTTCCTTAACTTCTCTGACCTTCAGCTTCCTTATCTGGAAAATAGGGACAAAGTCTCCTAATGTATGAGGTTATTGTGCAGATTCAACAAACCTATATTAAACACCACCATCAATTCGTAAATGTGCCATTCCCTGGCCTGCACTGGATATCCATATGGTAACATTTTGAAGGAAAAATGTAGAAGCTCAGAGGGAATTTTGTAGTTTAACTGTGCAAGGACTTAGGGAGTAGTGTATTTATCTCCTACTACGTTTCCTGTTTTGTGATTTCTCTGTCTCTCATCTATGCAGGTCTTAATTAGCTCTTTATGTAACAGTCCCACAGATATTTATCTCAGTGTGCTGGCACCACCCACTCGGTCAGACTTATTTTTTTGTGAATGTGGTTTTATTTAGTATTTGTAAGGCTGGAAAGTTATCTCTGTCTTAAAGACTTGAGAACTGATTAATTTTGTTTTTCTAGATATTTATATACTTTCAGATAATTAAAAAAATTTTGAGTTCAATTTATTTAGAATTAAATTTTGATGTTTATAGTAAGGAAAGGACCCAACCTTTTTTTTTTCTTCTCCAAATTTCTAGTGAGTTATTTAAAAATATTTTAGGGAATAAAGTACTGTGTGATTTGTGAGATTTTCTTTGTAACAGTCGTATATAAAAGGTTGTATATAAAATTAAACCAAATCTGATACCAGAATCCTTTGCTTTTTGAAAGTTGGCTTTTCACTGCTTTGCTTGGATGAAAGATCTATACTAGTACCTGTTTTTGCTAATGAAAGGAATCTGAAGGGGATTTTGGCCTTTAGGGGAAAAGGCAGAAAGTAAAAACAGAGCTCTGCGTCTGCTCTGCAGTGAATGCTAGAAAGGCAGCACCGCCCTGAAAGGAGGGAGTCCTCCCCAGCTTCCACTCTCAGCATCGCCGCATCGGCCACCGCAGCTCTGAGCTGTGAGCATCAGCGCTTCACCTCGACGCGTTCTGTGCCTCCGACAGCAGGCTGTGTCCTGCGGTAACTGCTGCTCCACAGTGAGGGTTAGGAAAGTTTTCACAGGAACGCCACTGGCAAGACAGCAGGAGAAACCTGCCTGTGTCTTAGCAGTCATTCACTTTCCCAATGAGATATTCTAAATACGATCTGCTACTTTAATAAACAGATATTTTCCGCTTACTCTTTTAAGAGTGAGTATGTTGTTCTTTTTATTCAAGACACAACTGTTTTCAGGAAGCTTAGAAATAACCAGCAATAATATAGTTACTCTCACTTATTCAGATATAGGCACAATGTTAAAAGCTTACCTGAAATTCTGTACTGCATCAAGGTGTGAAATTACAGTGGAACTGAAATTAAAATGCAGAAAACTATGATTATAAAAAGCTAGGAAGGCACTATACAAAGCAATCTGAGAAGAGTTTAAATAAAAACAACTTTTCTATTTTCAAGGTGGAATTCAAGGTAGACAGTTAAGGACAGTAAATTTTAATTATAATTTGATGCTGTGCACTAATGAAAAATAACAGAATGGTAAAGACAATGATGTAAAAGCCTTTCTAGCAGGCCTTTCCTGGTGATCCAGTGGTTAAGACTCCTTGCTCCCAGTGCAGGGGGCTTGGGTTCAATCCCTGGTTGGGGAACCAGATCCTGCATGCCACAACTAAAGATCCCACGTGCTGCGACAAAAATTAAAGAAAGATCCCACATGCTGCACTAAGACCCAGCATGTCAAATAAATAAATAAATATTAACAATGAAACAACTTTTAATATGAGCCATGGAAGGTACGCACAGTCAACAAAGAGCAAAATCAGGAAAGGTCTCTAAAGCCTTCATTTTGTTGCTAAGAACACATCCACAGTGTCTACAGGCTGGAAACTTAGGTCATTTTCAGACATCGAAGTCCACTGACAGAGGACCAATTTCAAAAGGCCCCTCTGGAGGCGCTGCTGAATTATTCACTCTGGAGGCTGAACTTGGCTGTTGGGAGTGCCCAAAGCAATCAAATCCCAATTTCAGGGCACTGAAACCACAGTGCCTAACAACCTCTCTCCCGGTGCTGCTGGGGAAGATGCCCGAGACACACAGCCCATCCTCTCCATGGCTTCCTTTGGGGTCACCTTGCACCCAGCATCCAGTCAGGCCCACAGATCACCTGAACCTCCCCTCTCTCTGGGGCAAGGGCCCTGACACTTCATCCTCCAGGCCCCCAGCCTTGCTTCCTGCAAAGAAGACCTCTTGGAGCACCTGGGACCAGCTCTCCTGGGCAGCACAGGCCAGTGAGGGCTCAGAGTGACTTACGTGATTACAGAAGCTGCCTTCACAGAGAAGGAAAGAGAGAGCTACACACAAAATGCGAATTCTAAGACTTTATGTCCTCTTCTCATCCAGTCCAGACGAGACTGTGACACTGCTATAACCCACGTGTGTGTCCCCCTGCAAAGCTGGAAGAGTCCCCCCTGTCTCCTCAAAGCTAGAAGAGTCCTCCCTGCTTCACAGGAATTGAGTTCATGTTTTGTTCCCCCTATGAACAAAGCTAGTGGAGGTGATAAAACTCCAGCTGAGCGATTTCAAATTCTAAAAGATGATGCTGTGAAAGTGCTGCAGTCAATATGCCAGCAAATTTGGAAAACTCAGCAGTGGCCACAGGACTGGAAAAGGTCAATTTTCATTCCAATCCCAAAGAAAGGCAATGCCAAAGAATGCTCAAACTACCGCACAATTG